TCCTCCTCCTCCTCCTCGTCCTCCTCCTCCTCCTCCTCTTTCCTCCTCCTCCTCCTCCTCCTCCTCCTCCTCTCCTCCTCCTGGGTACTCCCTCCCCCTCCCCTCCTCCTCCTCCTCCTCCCTTGTCCTGTTCGTCCCTCCTCCTCCTCCTGGTCGTCCTCCTCCTCCTGCTCGTCCTCCTCCTCCTCCTGCTCGTCCTTCTTCTCCTGCTCCTCCTGCTCCTCGTCCTGCTCCTGCTCGTCCTCGTCCTCCTGGTCTTGCTCGTCCTCCTCCTCGTCGTGCTCTGGCCCCTGCTGAAAATGTGGCCCAGGAATGGGAGTTCTGGGAAGTCGAAGCATTCAAAATGTGGCCCGGGAATGGAGTTCTGGGAACTCGAAGAGCACGAAGTGGCCTACAGTTGGCTTCGGGCATTCAAAATGTGGCCCGGGAATGGAGTTCTGGGAACTCGAAGAGCACGAAGTGGCCTACAGTTGGCTCCGGGCATCCAAATGTGGCCCGGGAATGGAGTTCTGGGAAATAGAAGAGCACGAAGTGGCCTACAGTTGGCTCCGGGCATTCAAAATGTGGCCCGGGAATGGAGTTCTGGGAAATCGAAGAGCACGAAGTGGCCTACAGTTGGCTCCGGGCATCCAAAATGTGGCCCGGGAATGGCGTTCTGGGAACTCGAAGAGCACGAAGTGTGTGACTGTTGCATCCGGCCCCCCAGAATGTGGCCCGGGAATGGCGTTCTGGGATGTCGAAGAGCACTTTGTGTGTGACTGTTGCATCCGGCCCCCCAGAATGTGGCCTGGGAATGGAGTTCTGGGAAGGCGAAGAGCACGAAGTGTGTGACTGTTGGTGAAAAACGAGCCCGGCTCATGCCGCCCGGAAACGCCCCAACACCTGCCCGGACCCCCCTGTGGAGTGATCTGTGAGCTCTTTTGAGACCACTAGAAACCTATCAGTCTTCGCTGTTAGGTAATAATCCCAAAATAGTCCCCAGACTATTCCTGGACTATTCTTGGGGTATTTTTTTATTTTTCGTCGAAACTCCCCCTGTAGGGGGACAGGCCCGACTTAATGGAAGGCATGGAACGTCTGGATTCCCCAGCCGCTGTAGCTCGAGCGGGGCGCGGAGGGCACACGCCCCGAGCCGCGCCAGCACCGCCTCTCGCGGGGGTCCCAAGGGGCGGTGCGGTGGCCGACCCTGCCATCCCAAGGCGTAGCACGCTGGGCGTCTCCGCTCGGCGTCGGTTTTTTCCCGGGGCCACCACGGAGCCCGACCGGGCTCGAAGAATGCCGCAGCAACCCCGAGCCGCGCCAGCACCGCCTCTCGCGGGGGTCCCAAGGGGCGGTGCGGTGGCAGGCCCTGCGATCCCAGCGTTGCACGCTGGGCGTCTCCGCTCGGCGTCGGTCTCCCCGGGGCCACCACGGAGCCCGACCGGGCTCGAAGACTGCCGCAGCAACCCCGCGCCGCGTCAGCACCGCCTCTCGCTGGCCATCGCTCGGACGTCCATTCCCTGTGTTTTCTTGGTTTCGTGCGTGGCTTTTTCGCCAGATGATCAAGGATGCTCCTCGATGGTCCCTGCCGAAGGGAAAATGCACACGTCCGAGCGATGCCAAGCTCGGGGGTCCCAAGGGGCGTTGCCGTGGCAGAGCCTCTTCGGACGGGAGGGGGGGGGTTCTGCTTCCGGCCTGTGGGGCCCCCCGCTGGGCATTCGAGAGCGCAGCATGGAGAAGCTGAACTCCTTCGCCGATGTGGCGCGAGCAGGAGCTCATTTGGCTCGGGGGCGCCCGACCGAGCCACGTCGACCGACGACGACCGACCGACGACGACCGACCCAGCGACCGCCTCGTGGGGGTCCCAGGAGGCGGTGCGGCGGCAGACCGCACGGTGACCTCGACGTCCCAAGAGGCATCCCCTGAGACCCGGGCGTCGCGATTCTCGTTCGCGCTGGGCGCTTTCGCTCCGTTTCGGGCCCCGGGGGCATCACAGAACGATCCGGCTCGAAAAATGCAGCGCACAACTTGGGTCTAGGTTTAAGTCAGGCCTGTCCCCCCATACAGGGGAATTTTGGACGAAAAAATACAAATACCCAAACTATACGCCAAAACTGCCAGAAAATGCTCAAAAATCGTCCCAGAGTATTTTTTGACTATTTTTATAGAGGGACAGGCCCGACTTAAGTCTAGGTCTCTCTGGGCGTGATTTTTCGCGACGCTGCAGCGTCTGTCGCAGCGCAGGATCCCGGGGTCCGTCACCGCACGGGCTTGGGACCTCTGAGTCCCTGGTCAGCCCGAGACGTCCTCGGAGAATGGCCCGAGTCCCAAAACTGCGCGGCCGCCCCGAACCCCCACCGGCACGCGCCACAGCAAGAGCCACTAATTACTGGCCAAGTGGCATGCTGGCAAGACCGACGACGAGCACGCGCGACGACAGTCCAGAGGGGGGAAGCCTCAAAGCCGACGGCAACACACCCGCAAATCCCATTGCAAGGGCCGAGAATCCAAACGAAGCCGCCGCGCGGCGTGGCTACCGCACCGTTTGGGCGCCCACAGCCGGCCTCCGAGGCCCCCGACCTGCAGGGAAGACCGAGCGGCCCGAGCATGAACTTTTTCGGAGGCCCGCGCGGATCTCTTCCGTCGGCGCTTGGGCCCAGACCAGCACAACTCGGGATTCTCTGAGATCTGGTTTCTGAGATCCGGTGGTTCCCGAGGCCCTGACTCCAGATCCTCCGCCCTACTTTGGCTTTTTTCCTACTTAAAATTGCGTCGGAAATCCACCTATAAGGAGCCGAAGAAGTAGGGCGGAAATTTCTGCACCCAGCATAAAAGTAGGGCGGAAATACACAGAAGCAGGGCGGAAAGAACAGCAGAAAAGCAGGGCGGAAATTGGCATCAGCGGGGCTTGAAAAGCAAGGCGGAAATTCCAAGCCCTACCTACGAATTTCCCCAAAGTAGGGCGGATCCGGAGTCAGGGGAGGCTGTTTCGGGCGCGCGGCGGCCGTTCCAGAGTGAGCGCTCCAGAACGCTCTGGACACATCCGTTGCAGGGCCCTATGGCCCCGGCCCGCCTCCCCCAGGGCGCGCACAGAGCGCGCCGGGGGCCCGGCGCAGCTCCGAGCAGGCCGCGCGGGCCTCCGACAGCTTCTCTGCGCGCGCCGTTCTGCCTTCCTCGGCGACCGCCCCTCGGGTCGGACGAAAGGCGGGGCCAGCGGCGCGGCTCCCCCGGTCGTTTTCCTGGGGCTTCCTGGCGCGCGGGGAGGGCGCCACGGTGCATCGACGAAAGGCGCCCCGGGGCGGGGCCGAAAAAGCAGCCGCACGCAGAGCAGCCTCCGTATAGCCCCAGATTCCTGCCCCTGACGACCCCGCCGAGAAGCTTTGCTTCCACCCGCCGCGAGGAAGTCCCGAGCGCTTCCCCGGGGGTGTAATTACTTTTTCTGCCCCAGATCCAGTCTTGATGGCCCCACGGGCCCGAAGGCGGCCCCCCGCGGGACGAGACCGCGGGAGGCCCGCAGGCTGAAAAAGTCATGTCGTCGGAGGTCTGAGGCTTCGGGTCATAGCTGGGGCCTCTGGCGGCCGTTCGGGACGATTGTGGCACCCCCGCCCTCGGCGAGGCGCAGCCGCTGGAAAGCACTCCGAGGCCCAAACACCGCCGAGAACTGAGCCACGTCCAAAACCTCGCCGCAGACTTCCAAACCAAGCGAAAACGCGGGTCGGAGAGCTCGCTCGGGACAAGCCTGGCACCGCCGGGCCGCCCTCGGCGAGGCGCAGCTGCCAGGAAAAGCAGCCTGGAGCGAGGCGAGGCAGCCTCCAGGAAACGGGGAGAGCTGCTCCCGAGCCCTTCCGAAAGCTCCCGAATCCTCTAGGAGGAGGAGGAGGAGGAGGAGGAGGAGGAGGAGGAGGAGGAGGAGATGAGATCTGGCCCCCCCCCCCCCTTCCGCCCGACGCCGAGCCCCCCGACCGCCGCCAGCTCCCCAGGATCGCCACGACCTTCGCCAGGGCCTCCGACGCCCGCGCCGCGCCGCCCGCGCCGCCCGCGCCCTCGAACGCGGCGCCCGCGGCGTGCTCCACCGCGGCGGCGGTGGCCGCGGACGGCGCGGGGAGCCTCCGAGGAGGGCCGGCGGAGCTCCGAGGCTCTCTCGGGCGCTCTCGTCGGCTCTCGGCGGCCTCCCGGCCTCGGCGCGCCCTCCGCCCAGCGGTGCGCCGTGCCCCTCGCCGAGCGCGCCCCGGGGGTGCCCACGTCGCCCCGAGAACGGCCGCCGGAGAGCCATACGCACCGAGGCCGCGGCGGCAACGCCGGCGCCGACGGCGACGAGCAGAGGAGGACGAGCTGAGCCAACGATGCTTGGCCTGCGGGGGAGCCACGGGGACCGCTTCCGGGGCCGGGGCCGGGCCGATTCCCGGGCCGGCGCCCAGGCCGGCGCCGAGGCCGGCGCTCCGGTCCGGCGCTGGGGTCCCGGCTCCTGGAGCGGCTCCCAGGCCGGGTTCCAGAGTTCTGCTTCCGGCGCTCGGGAAGCTTCCCTGGCCGCCACGGCTGGACGCAGCTCGAAAGACTGGTGCGCCGGAGCCCCGTGAGCTGCCGCCGTCAAGAGGCGAACGAAGCTGCCTCACCACCCTAATTTCCAAGCGGGAAGCAAAAGATACCAAACTACTCGTGGGGCGGCACGAAGCGGCCAAGCTGCATGACGAGGAGGCGCGTGGCACGACTCAGCCTTGCCTGGAAGCGAAAGCGGGGCTCGCTTCCAGGCTCGCTCCTTGACCTCTGCGCCGTGGAACTGGAGCGGGGCGCGCTCAAGCGAGCTGCGCCCGTGCACGAGGAGGAGAAGCGAGGCGAAGCAAGAAGCGAGGAGCGAGGAGGAGGAGGAGGAGGAGGAGGAGGAGGAGGAGATGGAGAGGACGGGAGGGGGGCATCTCCCCCTGCGAGCTCTCTCAGCTCGCCCTGCTCCAGGCGCCTGGCCAGGATGACGTCCAGCGCGGGGGCGGCGAGCGCGGGCGCCAGGCCCTCGAGGCTGCCGCCCTTCACCCCGAGCGCCGCCGGGATGACGGCTCGAGGAACGAAACGTGGCACGAGCACGAACTCTCGCCAGGGGAAAGGAGCACAAACTCTCCTCCTCCTCCTCCTCCTCCTCCTCCTCCTCTCTCCTCCTCGTCCTCGTCTCATCCTCCTCCTCCTCCTCCTCCTCCTCCTCCTCCTCCTCCTCCTCCTCCTCCTCCTCCCCTGCTGACGCTGTGGCACTGATCCCCCCTCCTCTCCTTCCCCCCTGACGGAGCTGCGCGAGGACTTCTCGGATCCGCGCTGCGCCCCCCATGGGCGGCGCCTCCCGCGCCGCCCTCCGGCGCGCTCCGCGAGGAGCGTCGGGCGGGGCCGAGGTCTGGAAAAAGCGGTCCAGGGCGCTCGGGAGCGATCTCGAAACGTTCTGGAGCACTCTGGGAGGGCCGCGGCGCCCGCAGCCTGCAGAACCGCTGGATCTCGGAGATTCCTGATCTGTCCTTGTCCGACTCTGCGCTGGCCTGGGCCCCCCGTCTCAGAGGGGGGGCCTGGCACGGATGCAAGGAATCCGCACGGAGCTCCCCTCGACCCTTCCGCACCTTCTGCGCGGCAGGTGCCGACGCGCCGCGGCCGCGGCCGCGGCGTCGGACACCGTCGAGGCCGCAGAGGCGGCCGCGGCGGCCGCCGCAGCCGCATCGCGGCTAGCACGTTCCGCGCCGAAGGGGCGGAGGGTGCAGGTCGAGGGCCCGAAAGTGCATGTCTGTGCCGATGTTTTCTCCCTCCGATGGCGAGGACGACGGCGGGGTCCAGGGCCGCGCTGTGCCTGATCGCGTCGGCGGTGGCGTGCCGCACGACGCGGTGGTCGGAGTGCGCCGCGGCCCGGCGGACGAGGGCGGAGGTCCAGCGGGCGGGGACGGCGCCCTTTGAGGAGGTCTGCCGGCTCGGGGGGGGGAAGCAGTGACCTGGAATCGGCGATGCGCCGCCAATAGATCGGCGGCGATGCGGAGATGGGCAGTGGGCGAGGAACCCTCGGCTTTGAGGAGGTATGCTGGCTCAGGGGGGGAAGCAGTGACTTGGAACCGGCGATGCACCGCCAATAGGTCGGCGGCGATGCGGTGCGGGCATTGGACGAGGAACCCTCGGGCAAAGAATAAGAATCCATGGCCCGGACACCCGTGGAACACCAGTTGGGGCTGGGCCACGTGTACGACCGCCGCCCTCACCAGATACGGAATCCTCCAGGGTCTGAAGCCTTCTGGGCACATTCCTTCAGGAATGCCCCCACACTATAGGCCCTCCGTAGCCAAAGCGCATGTGCTGGGCGGGGAAGGGGGCCCAGGCCCCGATAGGCGATGAGTGAGCCATTGGGGGTCGATGCTTTCCCCCCCCTTAGACCAGGTCCTCCCCCCTCCTGTCGCTGCACCTGGCCTTGAACAGCCCGCCGAGGGCGGTCACGTCCTCCCACACGGGCCGCACGATGTGCCATGGCTGCTCGTCCGAGAGGACGAGGAAGGCCGAGTGCCACGCGGGCCACCATGCCGCGCCACCGTGCAGCTGCCTGAGCAGCTCGATCGCCAGCCGCCGCGTGGCCCGGGTCCGGTGGGTCAGCCCGCCTTCGAGGAACTCCTCGCTGATGTTGTGCGCCCCGTAGATCGCCGACAGGCGCATCGCGGACACGCCGGCCCCCGCGGACCCGCCGCCGCGCCTGCCCAGCGACTTCCAGATCCTCGCCACCTCGGCCTGGCCCCCGGGCGGGAGTGGCAGCTCCCGGCGCGCCTCGTGGACCTTCGACAGCTGCTCGCTGATCCAGTCCTCGTCCTCCGCGTCGAACACCTGCTGGAGCAGCGCCGCCACGTGCTCCGCCGGGAACGCCGCCGGGGGTGACAGGCACAGCAGGTCGATCTGCAGCGCCAGCAGGGACCTCCACTCAAACGGGGCGTGGCCCGCGTCGGCGCGCACGGTCGCCAACAAGTCCCGCACCGCCTGGGACACCGCCACTCCCAGGACCTCTCCCAAGGTGCCTCCTGAGCAGAATTCCCAGGCGAATCCGGCCATGGCGACGAGAGCCCAAAGAGGTGAAAGCGAGGCAAGGGTAGCGGTATACCTTCCCTGACATGTGATGCCCTGACTTTCTCCATACGGGGTCACCCCCGGAGGTCGCGACCCTTCCCGGGGAGCGGTTGTCCAACCTGAGTTGTTTTGAATGGTCATGGGGGCCCGGCGAGGAAAACCATCCGTCCCGTTTTTGTTTACGAAGTCTACGACGCGAGCATGTCTAGGTTTCCCTCCGCTGACCGCCTGCCCGTCTGCGCCCTCCCCCCAGGCCCGCATAAACGCCAACGCCGCGCGCCCCAGCCGCTCCCGGCAGTGTGCCTCAAGGCCGCGGTGGCAGCACAGCGGCACCGCCCCGCGCGACCACACCCACAGCCACTCCGCGGCCTCCGCGGCGCCGGCCTCCTCCTTCTCTCCTCCTCCTCCTTCCTCCTCCTCCGCTCCTCCGCTCCTCCTCTCCTCTCCTCCTCTCGTCCTCTCCTCCTCCCTCATTCCTTCTCCCCCCTCCCAGCTCCCTGCTCCCTGCTCCCTGCTCCCTGCTCCCTGCTCCCTCCTCCCTCCTCCCTCCTCCCTCCTCCCTCCTCCCTCCCTCCCTCCCTCCCTCCCTCCCTCCCTCCCTCCCTCCCTCCCTCATCATGTGTGCAAGGTATGCATGGCATGTTCACCACTTTCTCCAGTCGCAAGCGTTCGCGTGACCATCTCGCATTCGATGCACCGCAGTACCATCGAGCGTACATGATGCACGGAGCTGTTCTCACACCAGAAAGGGCTGAGAAATTACAAGTAGAGGATGCTGCACATGAAGAGGCGCATCAACTAGCAGGATTTGGTAGGTGGAGAGCAGCCTTTCCAGCTGGAATGGAACACCCAGCAGAAGGCCTCTACCCAGCAGCAGTGCTCGTGGCAGCTCTCTTCACCGACCAGCAGGCGCGATAGCTGCTACCAGAGAACGCGTACGAGATAGACCCAGGGACCTTACCAGAAGCCCCCCCCTGAACCCGCGGAGCAGGAACTCCCACAGCTTGCCGACCGTCATCAGCGATACAGGGTGCAGGATTTATCATAATATGCAGCCTCACAGGTGCCATGCTGAAATTATCGCAAGGCGATGTTGGTGCTCGCTTTTGTATGATGACGGAGCGGAGATGTCAGTCTTGGATAGACAGAGATCATCACAGTCCCAGCTATCACGTCATCCTGTTCAGCGTTGACATAGGCATGGATGCAGACCGACCTCACACGTACCAATACTATACACAGACGAGGGAAACAGGTTCTGGCTCGGAAGGTATGGAACACGGGGGGGGACCCTGTGAGACATGGAGCGCGGCCAGATGGCTGGATGGTCCTGACCCCTTGCGTACGCACGAGTGGTTCTGGGGAGCCCCACGGGTTACAGAACGACAGGCGTTGCAACTGGAGGTTGGGGCATCCTTCCTACAGAAACTGGTGTGTCTCTTGGGCTACGTGATTGCGGGGACATCTGGATGGATCGAGCACCCTCTACCTTTGCACTGGAGACCCCAAGCCCCTAGTAGTTCCCAATGGGAGCCATTCGAAGCCCTAGCATCTTCACCCATCGTTGTGATGGCTGACTTTGACCAATGTGTGCACCAAGCGGACACCAGCTGCTGCCTTCGGAAGAGCGTCTACCAGATTGTTGGGCTTGCATCTGCATTGTCTCACGCAGAGGCTCACCGATGCACCGAACCAAGGTAGATATCACCACCCTAAGGGCTCCTACAATGTTCTGAGGGGCAGGGAGGGAGACGACTCAGGGACGCAAGGTCTTCAGGACGAGTGCCACAAAGACTATCCTACGGCAATGTGTGCAGACCTTGCCGCTTCCGTCTCAGCTTCTATTTCAAGAATATTTGTGGCCAATGTCGAGGATGCCGATTTTTACCCGCCAGATGATCCAGTCTTGGTATAAGATCCCTGGAGTTGTTTTGTGAAAGACGTCGACCATAAATGTTGCACCGCCCATGGCTTTGCTCAGAAAAGCGGTGAGGCACATGGAGCATATCCAGAAAGGCACAGATTCCGACCTAACCAATGTGATCTGGAAACCCGGGAGGCCATTCAGGGAACGGAGCAGAGTGGGTGTGGTCCGACTCTGGAGCCATGTGGTCGTGAACCGACCCCAGCTTCTGAGAGCCCCCTACCCATGCAGCAAGCTTCCCCTGGTCAGGACGAGGAGGCAGAAGCTTGCGATGTTCTCGGCTCCCCTCCCTCCTACTTGTCTCGGCTTCCGCCTCCCCCCCAAACCCCCAGGAGAGCCCAGAATCGAATCGATAAGTCGGACCGGCGATCGAAATGAATCGGATCTGCAGAGGTCGGCAGCCGAGTCGGGAAAAGTCGATTCGGTCGACATCGGCAGGCTAGTAGGCCTCCATTGGGAAATCGGATCCCAAATCGGCATCCCAAGCCGAATCGAATCGGAATCGGAGGCCATCCGAATCGAATCGAATCGGAGGAATCGAAACGAGCCCTGAACCCCCCTCGCTCTCTGCCGAGCAGCTGGACCGCATCGTGGCCAACCGTGCCGACGCCCGCCAGCGACGCGAGGCCAAGAGGGCCGCCGCGCATCGGCAGCGAGCCCCCCTGGCTCGGTCCCCTCACGTTCGAGGGCATCTTCGAAGCAGGGCCACTCCCTCGCGCGCCTTCCCCCACTGACAGTTCATGCGGGATAAGACATGGTAAGACAGCATCGGCCATCCAATCGGAGTACAGCGCGTCGCTCACACCCGCGTCCCACCACACCTCCCTCCTCCCGTCTCCCTCTATCCCTCCATGCCGTCCATCCCTCTATCGGGTCGGGCGAAAAGGGGTGGATTAGCAAAGAGGGGGGTTGAGAATCAGCTCACGTAGCTGATTTTCCCGGCGCCTCCCGGCGCCGGAGGCGGCTATGTATCGAAGAATGGATCTAATGGGCCCCTCCGTGGGGCCGAAACCAGCTGCATGCGGCAAATTTCGTAACCCCCCCTTTCCCAATACCCCCCTTTCGTCCGGCCCGACTCTATATCCCTCCCCCCTCCATCCCTCCACCAGTGCACCAATCCACCATGCCGTCGATAGACACCGGAGCGGGCCGAGGACCTCCCTGCGGCCCCTGGGCCACCGAAGACGGCCGTGAGGAGAGGTACAAAACGTACCTCCACCTTTGAAGGGGCCCCAGGACACACAAATTCGCCGGCCCAACGGGCCAGAGGCGTGCTAAGATCTCCGGTAACTGGTTAACAATTTTCTAGTTCGCGCGCGCGGGGCGGCCCCTGGGGGTCCCCGGACGAAAAGTACCCCGACCAGGTCCCGGCCGGTCCCCGGCCGGGTCCCGGCCGGGTCCCGGCCGGGTCCCGGCCGGGTCCCGGCCGGGTCCCGAGCGCTCCATGAGCGCACCAACAGGGCTCCGAGACGTCCCCGAGAGCCCCAAGAAAGGCCAAGAGGCCCCCAAGAGGCCCCCAAGATGGTACACGAGGGGTCCGACATGCCACAAGATCGCTCCAAGACGCCCAAGATAGCCCCCAGACGCCCCAAGAGGCCTCCAAGAGCACTCCCAATAGGGCCCCCGGAGGCAAAAATCATTGTTTTTCCATAGGTTTTTGAGAGATTTTGGAGCTTCCACCTTTTCGGCTTCCCGACGCCCCAAGACGGCCCAAGAGGCCCCCAAGATCGCCCCAAGAGGGCCCAAGAGGCACCCAAGAGGGCCCCAAGATGGCCCAAGAGGGCTCGAAGACGGCCCAAGAAGCCTCCAAAACGGTCCAAGAGGGCCCCAAGAACGCCCCCAAAGGGGCCCCAGAGAGGGAACACGAAACAACATTTCGAGCCCTCGGCCCTAAGAAGCCCCTACGAGGCCCCTAAGAGGCCCCAAGAGGCCCCCACGGGGCCCTCAGGAGGCCCCCAAGAGTCCCCCAAGCGGCCCCAGGAGGCCCCCCAAATGCCCCCCCGAGCGCCCCAGGAGTCCCCCAAGCGGCCCCAGGAACCCCCAAAGCGCCGCATTGACACCAGGCCCTCGGGCAAACGGCAGACATGAGACTGTATGGGCCGGCGGAATGAGCGAAGCGATTAAATAAATACACACAAATAAAAGGATTCACCATATTTTCCCATATGTTCTGGCTTTCTGTCTTCCCCCCCACTTCCCATATTTTCCCATATTTTCTGGGGAATCGACGATTAATTCTGTCTGTGTTTTTTTCCCTCCTGAACCTTCCCAATCCAATACACCGAGGTGAGGGCCATCATGGGCCTTACCATCCACCAGTCAACCAATTAATCCTGTTCCTCCCTCCGCGGCCTCCACGGCACCGGCCGCCGCGGACAGCATGTCCGCCAGCAGCCCAGCGTTGTGCGCCGCCCGCGCGGCGTCTGGCGGGGTGGCGTCGAGCGCCGCGCGCGCCGCTTCCGCCACGACGCCGGTGGCGAAATCCTTGAACTCCATCGGGTATGCCAGCTACACGCATCGAGGCACAACAAACCACATAAGCCAGAACTTTCCGATCTCCGCGAGGACTTCTTGGGTCCGCGCTGGGCCCACCTGGCGGCGTCCCTGGCGCCGTCCCTGGCGCGCTCCGCGCGCCAGGGAGGCGTGTCCAGCGCCGATCCAAGAAATCCGAGCGGAACTCCGAAAGTGCATGTCTATATAGTTTTTTCTCCTTCGAGCGCAAGGGTGACCCTGCGGCAGGAGTGGCCTTCCCTGAAATGTGGGCCTCACGCCGAGCGTTGTCGCCCAGTCTCGGACCCCAGAAACCATCACGGATCGATCTGGCTCGAAAGAAGGCCTCGGAACAATGGGGGCAAGAGTCTCGGGCTCTGGCCGTGACTTTCCGCGACGTTGCCATCTCTTGGCGACGTCGGATCTCAGAGTTGGGTGCGCGGCTTCAGGGGGGACGAGGGGGGGGGATCCAGGCGTGCGAGCAGGTGCTGGCGGGGGGGAGGGGGCCTGCGGCCCCGCACCAGGCGCAAATATCCGACGGTGTGCAATTTTAAATGCTGCGCGGCCCTGGGAACATCGCTGGAGACCTGGCAGGCCCACTCCCGCGGAAGGCTCCCTCTCACGCGCAGCGCCAGGGCGTGCTGCTCCGCCGCGAGGGCGCCCAGGGCCGCCGCGGGGGGGAGGCCGCAGGCTGGCCGAGGCCCTGGCGCCCGGCGAGGCGCCGAGGACGGTCTCCTGGAGGCCGCCGCCTCCGCAACCGGAGGCCTGCCCGAGCGCGCTCGAGCTACATGGTCAACAGCGTCTCCTGCGCAGCATCGGCCGTGGCCCTGCACAAAAACGAGGGCAGCTGAGGGGGCGGTGGCAACAGGTGTACCTCTCTCGCTCTCTCTCTGTGTCCGAGTGGGCCGTTGGGGCCTAAATGGGGTGCGGGTGATGCTTGGGGGTCGCAACTGTCCCGCCCCTCCATAGACCCCGACAGGCCCGCCCCCCTCATTCACAAGGCATGTAGTCTGCAATGCATGTGTACATGTGTGTGCGTCTGCATGTAACTCAATGCGTTGTGTGCGCATACTTGCGTGCTTGTGTGTGATCACGTGCTACTTCTCAGTTTGAGTAATCCTTTGGGCTCGCCACCTTGAGGTCTGCAATGGCTTGGCTAAGATATGATGTTACCAGTCCCGAGGAGGCCATCTAACAGCCAGGTCTCCACTAGTAGTGGGTGTTGCTGCGGGCAGCCTCCCCACGCACGCAGCCTGGAGATAGTCAGCTGTCGAAGGGATGAAACGAGTGAGTCGTGGGCCCTAGCGTGCGCTCCAAACTGGGAGAACAGCCGAGGGACGCTATGCGGTAAACTGATCTCGATAGAAGTATCGACTTCTACGACGAGCGCGGCCCCGCCCCACCAGCATCCTGGCGCATAACGGCTGGACTCCGAGCTCCTGCTCCTGCTCCACGACTCCACGCCCTCCTCCCACCTTTCCACCTGTTACTCCTCCTGCGCTTCCGCCTCAGTCCCCGTCTCTGTCTTCAGCGACTCCTTCTTGTTCTCCTTCTCCCGCCACTCCTCCCCTGACTCATCACGATCATCCTGATCATCAACACCAGCATCATTATCATCATCAGCAGCATTATCATCATCATCATCAGCATCAGCATCAGCATCAGCATCATCATCATCATCATCATCATCATCATCATCATCATCATCATCAGCATCAGCAGCAGCAGCATCATCATCATCATCATCATCATCATCAGCAGCGGCAGCAGCAGCAGCATCATCATCATCATCATCATCATCATAATCATCATCATCATCATCATCATCATCAGCATCATCATCATTAGCATCATCATCATCAGCATCATCAACAGAATCGTAATCCTCCTCGGCAGCAGCATGGACATCAGCAACAGCAACAGCATCAGCAACAGCATCAGCAACAGCATCAGCACCGCCACCATCATCATCATCATCATCATCATCATCATCATCATCATCATCATCGTCATCGTCATCGTCATCGTCATCGTCATCGTCATCACCATTATCACCATTATCACCATCACCATCATCATCATCATCATCAGCATCAGCATGATCATCATCGTCATCATCATCCGTATCATCATCAGCAGCATCATCGTCATCATCAACATTATCATCACCACCACCATCATCACCATCCTCCTCATCATCACCATCGTCAGCAGAATCGTCATCACAATCAGCATGTGCCATCAGCACCCTCACCATTGTTATCGTCATCCTCATCATCGTCATCGTCAGCATCATCAACATCATCAGCATCATCGTCATCATCATCACCACAATCATCATCAGCAGCAGCATCACCCTCACCATCGCAGTCGTCATCGCAGACGTCATCAGAAACACGCTCATTCTCTCCTCATGACTCCCTGTTGTATCTCTCCCTCGCTCTCATTATCTCTCTGTGCATGATATACCTATATAGCTATCTATCTGCCTCGTCCATCCTTATCCAGCCCCTCTTCTTCCTCCTTGGCCTCCTCCTCCTCCTCCCCCTCCTCCTTCTCCTCCTCCTCCTTCTCTGCCTCCTTCTCTTCCCCCCGCTTCTCATCCCACTATTCCTCTTGCGCTTCCTCCTCCTCCTCCTCCTCTTCCTCCTCCTCTTGGACTACAGCATACACTGGGAGCAGCAAGGACCTGTGGCAAAACCTGGGTTGCGCACTGAAGAATCGCGGACCGGGAAACATCGAGGTGAAACACATGGAGAGCCGCTCGGGGAAAGACGAGGCGGAGCTGAAGGGTTACCCTATCGAGGCCTGGTGGGGTAACCAGCAAGCAGACGCCATAGCAGGAGAAGCGGCAGAGGCACATGAGACCGCGAAGGCACAGCAGGGCTGCTACGACTGGGTGAACGCGGTGGGCTACCTGGTGAGAAACATAATGAAGAGAGCGACACTGAGGGGAGAGAAATAGAGAGAGAGAGAGAGAGAGAGCTGACAGGAGCCAAGAAAAAAGCTAACAGGAACGGCCACAAGACCAGGAGTACATCTAGGAGCTAGTGAAGAATTCGCTGCTCCTACTGGCCCATGACAGTGGCACATGGAGTTGCAGGAGATGCGGGGAATCATGCACGGACTACGGCAAAGGCAAGGGCGTACTCAAAACCTGGCTCAGGCAGAAGTGCGCGACCGACAGAGCAGGAGTGCGACATGCCAGACATCAGCTTGAAAGTATGGCGGCACACGGCACACATGACATAAGGAATGCGACGAGGGCGAAGCGGTGGTTCTGCTGGCATTCTGGCATTCTGCGGCTGACGTAGCAAGGCCTGACGTGAACCAAGAAAGCATGAACTGCAGGATGGGCGACAAGCTGCAGGAGCCCTGCACGAGGCAAGTGGCACCAGGAGGGAGACACAAGCCGAAGGCCTTCCGACACAAAGCGGATCGTTAGCATGCCGAGCACGCTGGGCACGAAGGCCATCACCGAGCAGGCCGCACGAGGCCGCCCCCCTCTGCGCGGCAGCCTACCTGCGCCATGGGAGGCTGTCGTTGCTCGCCCAGGCGGGGCTGCCGAGGCGAGAGGTGGATGGGCGCCCCCGGCCCCGCGACCCCGTGACTCGAGCTCCCTCCCGCGGTCTCGCCGCACCTGCCACTCGCGGTGAGGTGTGCACGGCTCGGTGCGGCGGGGGCCGGGCCCGCCGGCAGAGGGGCGGTGGGGCTCACTGGCCCGCGAGCTCCCTTCGGCCCCTGGCGGCGCGGAGACACCGCGCAGCCAGGATGGGAGCACTGCTGCATATCGCTGCGGGTGCGCCAGGACACGTCTCTGGAGCGTGCGGTGGGTGGTGCGGCAGCGCGCGCTGCTCGGCACCAGGAGGGGGGCTGCAGCCAGCAGCCAACAGCACAGAGTGTGGAACGACATCCTGGAGAGAAAGCAAATCCCTCCCTCCCTCCCTCCCGCCCTCCCTCCACCCTCTTCCCTCCGCCCTCCGCCCTGCGCCCTCCTCCCTCCGCCCTCCGCCCTCCTCCCTCCGCCCTCCTCCTGCTCCTCCTCCTGCTCCTCCTCCTCCTCCTCCTCCTCCTCCTCCTCCTCCTCCTCCTTCCTCCCCCTCCTCGTCCTCCTCCTCCTCCTCCTCGCGCGTCGCCGAGCCAGTGACGCGGGTCGAGAGGCGCGGCAGGGCGGCTCGGGCCGTCCTCGTGAACGCCCGGGCGCGGCCGCTGCCCCCGGAGCCGAGGAGCGCGCTGGCGGTCGACTGGAAGTCGCTGACCGCGTCCGCGCCGTAGAACGACGTCCTGCGCGCGGGCTTCCTCCTTATCCTCCTCCTCCTCCTCCTCCTCCTCCTCCTCCTCCTCGTCGTCCTCCGCGTCCTCCTGCTTCTCTCCCCCCTCCTCCTCCTCCTCCTCCTCCTCCTCTTCCTCCTCCACCTCCTCATCATCATCAGCATCATCATGATCATCAGCATCAGCATCAGCATCAGCATCAGCATCATCATCATCAGCATCATCATCATCATCAGCATCATCAGCATCATCATCAGCATCAGCATAATCATCATCATCATGACCAGCAGCAGCAGCAGTGTCAGCATCAGCATCAACACCAGCGCCAGCACCCCCATCCTCCTCCTCCGCATCCTACTCCTCCTCCCTTTTCTCCTTCTCCTCCTCCTCCTCCTCCTCATCATCACCACCACCACCACCACCACCACCATCATCATCATCATCATCATCATCATCATCATCATCATCATCATCATCATCATCAGCATCAGCATCATCATCATCATCATCATCATCATCACCATCATCATCATCATCATCATCATCATTCGTCAGCATCACCATCATCATCCTTATCATCGTCATCACCAGCATAATCAGCATCATCATCGCCATCATCCCCATCGTCAACATCAGCATCAACATCATCAGCAGCATAAACATCATCAACAACATCATCATCAGCAGCATCATCAGCAACATCACCAGCATCACCATCACCATCATCATGCATCAGCACCATCGGCGTCATCGTCATCATCAGCATCATCATCAGCATCACCTGAATAATAATCAGCATCGACATCATCATCATCATCGCCCTCGTCGTCAGCATCATCATCATCACCATCAGCATCATCATCATCATCAGCAGCATCATCATCAACATCAGCATCATCATCACGGCCACCACCACCAACATCATCGGCATCGTCACCGTTACCGACACCGTCCTCGTCGACGTCGTCACTGACATCGTCATCATCATCATCAGCATCATCATCAAAATCATCAGCAGCATCGTCATCATCATCATCATCATCATCAGCATCATCACCATAGTCACCATCACCATCACCATCAGCATCATCCGCATCATCACCAATCATCACCATCATCATGATCAGCATAATCAGCTTTATCATCATCCGAATCGTCGTCGTCACCATCATCATCATCCTGATCATCATCATCATCATCATCATCATCATCATCATCATCATCATCATCATCATCAGCAGCAGCAGCAGCAGCAGCAGCAGCAGCAACATCATCGTCGGCGTCATCGTGATCGATCGTCATTGTCACCGTCACCGTCGCCGTCATCGTCATCGTCATCGTCATCGTCATCGCCATCGTCATCGTCATCGTCATCGTCATCGTCGTCGTCATCGTCATCGTCACCACCACCACCCCCACCATCATCCTCCTCCTGGATCCTGGATCCTGGATCCTGGATCCTCGATCCCCCTCCTTCCCCTCCTGCTCCTTCTTCTCCTCCTTCTCCTCCTCCTCCTTCTCCTCCGCCTCGTGCACCCCTCCTCCTTCATCACCCCTCCTCCTCCTCTTCCTCCTCATCCTCCTGCTGTAGAGCTGCAACACTGTGCAACGCCCTCCGTGCAAGCACATAGAGCTCCCCTACTCAGGTGACGATCCCAGCACGGACAACTGAGCTCTCCCACCCGTGCTCGAACTAGATGGCGGCGCAAAGCCGTCTAGAACGTCCCCCCCGCATCTCATCCAAATCCTCCCCTTGCCTCTTCCTCCGACTGGGCCCCGAGACCGCGGCCCCATGGATTCGGGGCGGCGTCGCGCGGATGCACCGCGCGAGACGTATCCGTGGGATCGCGTATCCGTGCGATCTTCGCTGGGCATCCAGACCGCGAGGGCATGGATACGGATATGCGCGTCGCTTGCTGCTGCTGCTGTTGCTGCTGCTGCTGCTGCTCCTCCACCTCCTCCTCCTCCTCCTCCTCCTCCTCCTCCTCCTCCTCCTCCTCTTGTCACAACTGTTGTGTTCGCAAATATCCCCCATTCCCGTGTCGGGCGTCGGGCGTCCCCGACGGGAGGCTCGCGCCAAAACGGTGCCCAGTCAAGCCACTGCTGCAAGAATCGCAAATCTCACCCCGTCTTGTGTCGAGCGGTCCCGACGGGCGGCTCGCGCCAGAACGGTGCTCACGTTAGAGCTTGCGTGTCCAATTTGGGGTTCTAAATGTTTTCGCAGGTGTCATCGCTTGCTCCATACTGTCCTCCTCACTTCCTGTATCCGCCGTCCGCTGCCCCGTCCTCCTTTTTATTCCTGTCCGTTCCTTCTTCCTTGCTTCCCTTTTTCGCATCTCCTGCCCTGGCTTCCATTCTCGCTGCCCCATCTTTCATGGCCATCTGGCTAACCCGAGATCCCTACTTGTCCCAACTCCTCTCAATAGCTGTGATGATGTCCAGTCAGTAGCGGCCCACCAAGGAAACTCATGTTTCCGGCATGAGCTACCATATGTCGACGGCATCGATGGCTTGACAGCCCTTCGTGAATTGCCATGCTATGATCTAAGGGCCAGCCTCCTCCTTCTCCTCCTCCTCCTGGTCCACCACCACTTTCTCTTCTTCTCTGGCGACGGAGGAGGCCCCACAACCCCCTGAACTCTATCTCTCGCGCTGGCAGCGGCGGGGTGCTCCTCAGGACCGCGTGGGACAACGGTTGGGCCATGCGTGCAGAATGAAGCCCATGGAGTAGCGACGATGCTGGGGAAGATGTGGGTGCGCATGCTTGGTGACATCAACGGGCGCCGCATGGTGCTCGTCCTTCTGGTGCTGCTCATGGGAGTCGCTGTGGTGGTGCTCCTCTTACTGGGGCTGCCCGGGGTCCACCTTCGGGTAGCGGCGGAGGGCCGTGGCACCCTACGTGCGACTGGGGCTCCTGCAGTGGCGACGAAGCGGCCTGGCAAATGTCGGGGAGGCCAGCGGCACCTGCTGTGCCGACGAGGTGGCACGAAGGCCATGTATAGGTAAGGCCATGGGGTTCGCCGTGTGTAGAGGGCAAGAAATCCACCCCCATAATAACCACCCCGACACGCGAAGCCGTTTACTAAGCGCCCCCACTGAAGGAATCGAACATGGCATGGCTGTTTAGTAAATGCCCAAGGCCGTTTAGTAAACGCCAGTTGTCTGGTCTGGGTGTTTTTTCATCCCTTGAGTGTGGTTGTCGCTCCAGCGGCTGGTCTTGGCTGGCATGAACTCCTGGCCGTGCCGTCGTCATGGATGGATGGTGCATGGTCCAAGTACTCCCACCTTTTGCCACTTCGGCACTTTGGCCACCATGTACTTATATGTACTTGACTTGGTATCGTGCCTGGGCGTGTCTGTGGCGCAAGGGTCATGGCACGTCGCAGAAACATTCCCCGTGGGACTCCTGCTGCTTCTTCTTCCCCTTCCCTCTGTCGTGTTGACCATCGCGGCGTCGACATCGCCTTCTGGGTCTCTCCGCCGCAGCGCACAGCGGCCCCGACGCTTCCCGCGCTGGTGCCCACTCGTGGCATGTGGCCAGTTCCAGACATCCTGAATCCCAAACAAGTGTCATCTCTTGGCCCCCGTCTGGCGGCCTGCCTGCTTGGGCTTGGGAACCCCGAGCCGCCCGACGGCCGCGTGCCAAAGGACAATCAGGCGAAGGGTCACTCTTACGGGTAGCCGACCCCCTCCCTCCCCCGCCCTGACTCCAGATCCGCCCTACTTTGGCTTTTTCTCCAACTTAAAATTGCGTCGGATATCCACCTATAAGAAGCCGAAGAAGTAGGGCGGAAATTTCTGCACCCAACATAAAGTAGGGCGGAAATCCACTGAAGTAGGGCGGAAACAGCAGCAGAAAAGTAGGGCGGAAATTGGCATCAGCGGGGCTTGAAAAGTAAGGCGGAAATTCCAAGCCCTACCTACAAATTTCCCTAAAGTAGGGCGGATCCGGAGTCAGGGCGGGCGTTCCGATCATGACTCGGGTCTCGAGCTCCGTTGGACGATCTGGGCACCCCCAGAACACTCCCGGCGAGGCGCAGCGGCTGAAGCGCGTCCCCACGGCAGGAGAGCCTGCAAGAACCGACGGAACCACCGGAAAACGCCCGAACACCGTGCAGCCGAAAAAACTGCACCGAGACCGCGGCCGACCCCTCCAGGGACACGCCGCTGGCCAGAGGCGCCGCCGCCTGGGACCAAAGGAAGCCGTGCGCGCTTCGCTTTACGCACTGGGCGGCATCTCTGGCCGCCAGAGGGGGGGGCGGGGGTCACTGTCGCTGTGGCTCCCCGCTCCCTCCTCCTCGTCCTCCTCCTCCTCCTTTTCCCGTCTCCCTCACCCATCCCTCCTCTTCTCCCTCTTCTCCTTTTCCTCGTCCGTCGCCTTCCCCTCCTGGATGCTTCCCCCCGTCCTCCCCCTCCTCCCTTCCTCCACCTCCTCCTCCTCCCTTCTCCCTTCCTCCCCCTCCCTCTCTCCGACTTCTTCTCCTTGTCCTCCTCCTCCTCCTCCTCCTCCTCCACCGCCTCCTCCTCCTCCTTCTCCTCCTCCTCCTCCTCCTCATCATCATCATCATCAACATCATCATGACCATCATGACTATTATACAATAGTCGTTACCATCAACATCACCATCACCATCACCATCACACTCCTCTTCCTCCTCATCATCAGCATCATCATCATCAGCATCATCATCATTATCATCATCGTTATCATCATCACCATCCCCATCACCACAATCATCATAATCAACACCATCATCATCAGCAACAACATCATGACCATCATCATCAACACCATCACCAGCAGCAGCAGCATCAGCATGAGCGTCATCATCATTACCATCACCATCAGCATCATCATTATCATCATCAAAATACTCAGCATCAACATCATCGTCATCCTCATCATCATCATCCTCATCAGCGACATCATCATCAGCATCACCATCATCGTCGCCATCATCAGCATCATCACAATCATCATCACCATCATCCTCATCAACATCATCAGTATTATCATCATCAGAATCAACCTCATCATCAGTGTCATCATCAGCATCAGCAGCATCCTCATCATCATCCTCATCAGCATCATCACTATCATCATCATCGTTATCATCATCATCACCATCCCCATCACCACAACCATCATCATCAACACCATGATTCAGCAACAACATCATGACCATCATCATCAACACCATCATCAGCAGCAGCAGCATCAGCATCAGCGTCATCATCATTACCATCACCATCAGCATCATCATTAACATCATCATCATCATCATCATCATCATCATCATCATCATCATCATCATCATCATCCATATAATCAGCATCAGCATCATCGTCATCCTCCTCATCATCATCAGCGACATCATCATCATCATCATCATCATCATCATCATCATCATCATCATCATCATCATCATGAGCATCATCACAATCATCATCACCATCATCCTCATCAGCATCAGCATCATCATTATTATCATCATCAGCATAATCCTCATCAGCATCAGCAGCATCCTGATCCTCATCCTCATTCTTATCCTCCTCCTCATCATCATCAGTATCATTATTATCATCCTCATCATCATCAGCAGCATCATCAGCATCATCCCCTTCCTCCTCCCCCATCCTCCTCGTCCTCCGCCTCCTCCTCCTCCTCCTCCTTTTCCTCCTTCTTCCTCGCTTCCTCCTCCTCCTCCTCCTCCTCCTCTTCCGCCTCCTCCTCCTCCTCCTCCTCCTGCTCCTCCTCCTCATGTTCCATCCCCTCCTTCCGCTGCTGCGTCCGGCCGCGACGTCCTCAGGGCGTCGAGCTCTTCGCGCCCCGGGATGGACAGGCGCGCGAAGCTGGTCAGGAGCCGGACCGACGGGCGGGGCGGGGAGGGATGCGGCGAGGCTATGCGAGCTCAGGGGGGGAGGAGGAGAGGGAGGGGGAGGATAAGGAGGAGGGGGAGGAGGAGGAGGAGGAGGAGGAGGAGGAGGAGGAGGAGGAGGGGGAGGAGGAGGAGGAGGAGGAGGAGGAGGAGGAGGAGATGAAGGAGGAGCAGGAGGAGCAGGAGGTGGGAAACATGGGAATGAGCGCGGAAAAGGCCGCCTGGTCGGGGGATGTCGTCGTCGTCGTCGTCGTCGTCTGCAGGCGGCGAGTAAGGGTCGGAGGAACAATATGTTTCATGCTTAGAGCTCAGGCTTCTCAGCTTGGCGACGCTGCAACCGAAACCGTGATCGATGAATCAATCGTTTAAGACATCTGAGCCAACTTCCCCGAAGCGTATTACAGCACACCTGGGCCAACGTCTGCCGCTGACGCTGAAAGGACAAACGTGCTCAAGAAACTGGGCCAGTTTTCCGGCAGGTGGGTTAAGAAACGCTGGCCCAACTTTTCGGGAGGAGGTGTCTTAATCAGATGCTCGACCGGACCGTACCATGATGAATGCGCGGTACACGCATGTGAAGTTCAGAACTTAGACGCGCTTACAAAACATCATACAGGCTGTCGTGACACGACCATCGCATCATCATAAATGAGCAAGTCCGACACGGTCAACCAAAAGAGTGGTTGAACGATGCAGGCATCGTGTAGGCAGCATGAAACTGTGTTTGCATTGCGCGGTGTCCACCTGGTTGCCTATCTTTGTTGCGTATACTGGTTAACGATGCATGATTCGTAGTTGCAGGCCGCCGTGACTATAGATCAACGCTGGCTGCTGCATTAGGTTATGTGCTAAATTGGCATGAAACGCGCATCAACATCACCTGTGTCGTGTCACGCGTGCAGGTGTTCCGTCTGTCATGTTGTTGTGTTGAACTACGCGGGGCTGTTGCCGCAACAACGTCTAAAGCAGCATGGACTGTATAGTCGCTGTAGCTACGTGCAGCGCAATCGTAGCAACACACAAGCAATGCAAGTGGCACAGGAACCATCATTCTTCTAAATCACTGGCCGGACAACCCAATCAACACAAATATTCCAAACAAAGAGTGACAACACGTCAACCAACGTATTTTCGGGCGGGCGCAACGCCATGCCGCCACCTCTCGGACGACGTTCGCGGTTGACTTGCCGCCCTGAGACCATCCTCCTCCTCATGCCCCTCCCCCGCCTCTTCCTCACCCGATTATCATCATCATCATCATCATCATCATCATCATCATCATCATCATCATCATCATCATCATCATCATCATCATCATCCTCGTGCACCATCCTCGTCCTCCCCATTCCCCTTCTCACATTCTCGTCCTCCTCCTCATCACCCACCTCATCTTTATCACCCCCCTCATCCTCCTCTTTCCCCTGCACCTCATCCTCACCCTCATCCTCATAATCCCCCTCGTCCTCCTCCTGCTCCTCTTCCTCCGCCATCACTCCTTCCCTCCTCCCTCCGCCTGACACCGCCCAGCCAGGTGAAACAGTACGAGAACGTGCCCTCACGGCCGCAGCTCAGCAACACCAATGTGCTGAGGCTTCGATCGTGCACCCAAGGTAAAACGACTGCAACGCACGCACTCAGCTCATGGCGCGCTCGACAAAAGCACCGAGACCATCCGCATCCTGTTACTCCTGCTTCTCCTCATCCTCCTCATCCATCTCATCATCCTCGCCCTCCTCATCATGCTCCTCCTCCGCCTCCTCCTCCTGTTCCTCCTCACCCGTATCCTCTCAATCCACATCATCATCCTCGTCATCATCAGATTCCCCTTCATCCTCCATCCCCCCCCCCTCCCTCCCTCCGTCCCACCATTCCTCCCTCCTCGTGCGTGGGCGATCCTCCCTCCTCCGTCCCCCTCACCCCACCCCCACCAGACAGAGTAATGGGAGCATTGCCACGTCAGGTGAAAAAAAAGACTAGAACGTACCCCCATAGCCGCAGCCCAGCAACTCAGAGCTTTCTGGTGTGAGTTGTGCGTTGTCGTTTGCGTGTGGTGTGTTGGTGGTTTCGCGGTGTGGTGTTCGGTGGTGTGGGGCCTGGCGCGTGGTGCATGATGTTGAGCGTGTGGAGTGCGGTGTTTGGTGGTGTCGCGTGTGGTGCGTGGTGTTTGGTGTGTGGTGCCGTGTTTGATGGTGTGGTGGTATGGTGTTTGGCAAGTGGTGTGTGGTGTGTGCGTGGTTTGTAATCACCATCTGCCGTCCGCGCCTGAGGATCCCCTGCGCCGCCGACTAAAAGGTGGTATGTAATGTGCGGTGTTCGGTGCTTGGTGGCGTGGTGTTTGGCGCGTGGTGCTTGGAGAATGGTCTAGCGTGGTTGGTGTTTGGTTGTGTCGAATTTGGCGCGTGGAGTGTGGTGGGCGGTGTTTGTAGCCGGGTAAATGTTGGTGGTGTGGTCGTGGGCGTGGTGGTTGTTGTGTGGTGTGTGGTGGTTGGTGTGTGGTGGTGTGGTGTGTGGCGCAGGGTGTCATGTTTTTGGTTTGTGGTGAGCTGTGGTTGGCGTTTGGTGGTGTGTTTGGCGCGTCGTTTGGTGTTTGGTCTCGTGCTTGATGTTTCTGTGTGTGTGTGTTGTTTGGTGTCTAGCGCGTGGTATTCGGTGTGTGGTCTGCGGTGTTCTGCTTGTGGAGTTTGGTGTGTGTGTGTGTGTGCGATGTGTGTGTGGTGTTCGGTCTTTGGTGCTTGGTGTGTGCGGCATTTGGTGGTTTGGTGGTGTGGTGTCTGGCGCGTGTTTGGCATATGGTGTGCGCTGTTTGGTGCTTGATGTGGTGGTGTGGTGGATGGCGCGTGGTGTCTGGTATGCGGTGTGCTGTGCGTGGTGCTTGGTAGTGTGTGTGTGTGTGTGTGTTGGCGCGTGGTGTTGAGTATGTGGTGTGTGGTGTTGGTGTGTGGTGGTTGTTGTGTGGTGTGTGTTTGGTGTGTTTGGTGTTTGGTGTTTGGGGTTTGGTGTGTGGTGCGTGCTGTGTTTGGTGGCATGATGTTTGGTGTGTGTTGTTTGGTGATTGGTGTGTGGTGGTTGGCGCTTTCTTGGGCTACTAAAACGCGCGTGCGGATTGCCTCTGCCGCGCTGCGACAGGAAAAGTGTGGTGGCGGGCGCGTAGTGCTTGGCGTGTGGTGTGCGGCGTTGTGTTTGCTGCGTCGTGCTTGTTGGCGAATGGTGTGTGGTGCTGTCTGTGTTGTGCCTGGTGTGTGTTGTGGTGTGTGGTGCATAGTGTGAGGCGTTTGGTGTTTAGTGTTTGATTTGCGGTGCGTGGTGTTTGTACGCGGTGTGTGGTGTCTGGTGATTGGTGTTTGATGTGCGGTGGTTGGTGCGTAGTGTTTGGTGGTTGGTGTGCGGTGGTTTGGTGGTTGGGCGTGTGTAGTGTGTGGTCGTTTGGTGATTTGGTGGTGTGACGTTTGGTCGCGTGGTCTTTGGTGTTTGCTGGTGTTTGGTGTGTGGTGGTTGGCACGTGGTGCTTGGTGTGGTGTGCGGTGCTTGGTGTTTGGTGAATCGTGTGTGGTGCTCTGTGTTTAGTGTTTAGTGTTTAGCTTGTGGTGTGTGGTGTTAGGTGTGTAGTGCGTGCTATGTGGCGTCTGGTGTTTGGTGTTTGGTGTGCGGTGTTTGGTGTGTGGTATTTGGTGTTTGCTCCGCGTGAGCCTCAAGCGGCGTCGCGCAAGGAACCGAGGGGCTAGCGCCAGCAACCCGACCCTAACGATGCAGATGTCATATTTAGGCATGCGCGTGAGCCTCAAACCGCATCGCGCAAGGAACTGAGGGGCTAGCGCCAGGAACTCGGCCCGCCCTAACGTTGCAAATGTCATATTTTGCCATGCGCGTGAACCTCAAACCGCGTCGCGCAAGGAACCGAAAGGCTTGCGCGAGGAACTGGGCCCTCACGCGACCACTTTTATATATTGTTATGCACGCGAACCTCAAAACGCGCGCCGCAAATAACGGCCCAAATGAACCCGCGTCACATTATCTTCGCAGCGGCGCAGGGAACCCAGCCCCGACTCGGGACCCCTTTCCTTGGATCATCCGCCCCGTTCGGCGAATCGATTGTGCGCGCGCCATAACCCAAGGAACGCCGAGGGGGCTTCGTGGCGCAATGGCGAGGGAACGCCAGCAGACCCAAGGAACCACCGAGCCCCTTCCGAACCCGAACTGGACCTTATTTCAGGAGCCTCACTGTATGCGGTGTTCGGTGGTTTGGTGGTTTGACGTGTGTAGTGCTTGTTGCTTGGTGTTTTGGTGGTGTCATGTTTGGTCGTGTGAGCTTGGGTATTTGCTGGTGTTTGGTGTTTGATGTTTGGTGCTCAGTGGTATTCGGTGTTTGGTAGTGTTTGGTGTTTGGTGCTGTTCGGTGTTCAGGCGTTGTTTTTGGGAAGCCAGGAGCTTCCACCTGGGAACTCCAGGGATCTGCATCAGGGGAACCAGCCTTTTCCGAGGAGCCAGCGCTTCCACTGGGGAACCACATGTCCCAGAGGGCGAGGGAGGGGGAAGGGGGCGGGGGTGGGTACGAGCTCCGCGTCGCACCTCTGGGGCCCTCGGAGCCTCCCGACCCACCCTCCGTGGCCTCCGAAATGTCCAAAATGCCTTCAGATGGGTCCAGACCGGCTCTAGTAGGCTGGAGAGGCCCCAACACTATCACGATGGCATTAGGATGGCAAAAGAAGCCGCCGAGAGTTCCCAAGAGAGCCCCAAGAGGATCCCCAAGAGAGCATCACGAGGCACAAATCATTGTCTTCCTATCGGTTGTATACGAGAGAGCGTGATCCACCGCCGCTTTACTGTGGAAGCCAACCTTTTCCTCCGGAACCCGGGGGTCGCCCCCCCCCCCCCCCTCCGAAAATCCCCCCCCCCCTGCTGGAACCCCTCCCCCCCCCCCCCTCCCCCGGCAAAACCCCCCCCTCCCCTAACCCCCCCCCCCCCCCCCCTCCCGCT